AATTAACCCTAATTAGTTACAAAGGTCGCTTGGTCTGGGTGTGTATTTTCAGCTGCACAGACACTATATTATAGGAATGGGGCGCCCTGGAAGCTCATCTGGTAGAAAACGTGCCAAGGCTGAGTCCTTGCTGCAGCAGCCTTTCTCTATTATCCTCTTATTCTTATGTGATTACACAATGCTACTTCTCACTCTGATCATGAAGATGACCCTATGGCTACACCATATTATAGTATAGAATTGAGTATTATACATACAATACTATTATACAGTATTATATAGACACAATATAGATCCAAGATAAAACTGACAGAAGGGCAGGATGGAGAAAAAAGGCACAATACATTTCAATTCAATTCAATTTTATTTGTATTGTGCCAATTCATAACAGAAGTTATCTCAGGCCACTTTTGAAATAGAGCAGGTATAGACCGTACTCCTTATAAAATTACAAATCCATCTGCTACTTCTACGGACAGCAACATGGATTTATCAATACACAGCACAATCAGGCTATTGATATTTCAGAGCCATACACTGAAAAAAAGGAATCTCAAAAAAGCCCCAAATCTTCTAATCTTCTAATCTTGTCGAGCAGGTTTTGCATTAGAGAATTAATCTCGTTTTAAGAAAATGTCTAATTTTGTTTTAGATATTGCAGCTAGATTTAACAAGTAACAAGTTACACCAATGATATCCCAACAGAGGAACAAGATCATTATTCTTATTTTAAGAGTCAGATCACTTGCACAACTTTTCAGTTTAAGAGAAAGTAGACTTGGCCCAGTGTTGTAAATGAAGCCGCTGTTTAGTTTTTCATTGTTTTAATTAAAAATGCTAAAAATAAGAATGCTTCTGGTGTCTTCATTTAAGAAGAAGTTTTTTCTTATGCTGTTTAAAGAAATTGTGTTTATTGTGAGATTTTGTTTTCTTAGATTAAGGTACAAATTTTTAAATTCAGATAAAAAAAAAAAAAATACGTGAGTAAGTTTTAACTGCTTGTAATAACTTATATATTATTAATTAAGCATAACTTAATTAAATGTTTGGCATTTTGTCTGGTTTTAAGGCCATTGCAATCTTTCACTTGTTAGATTTGTATGCTAGTTTTCAGAATTCTAGCCAAGCTAAATTAGCTTACCACGTGTCAATCATTTTTTGCAATTTGATTATATTTAAGAGTATTTGGCTTGTTTCTAGACGTTCTTGTTTTTGCAGTGTAGGTTGTATGTAACACAGTAGATATTAGTGATTGCTTGGACCTGAGTCTAGGTTCGGAGGAGCAGTTTGTAACCAGACCTCAGTAATAACAGACCACAGACCAAGGCTTATTTATATAGAACAGTTAGTAGTGGACATACACAGTTGGCACCAAATCACACACATACACGAAAAGAAAAAGAAACATACGCTCAGTTTCTTGGAAATATTTCACATTAATAATGTACAGCTCTCAGGAGACGTGTTATTCCTCCTATTTTTACCTCTCTTTGGTTTGCGTTGAATCTAGTTGAGTTCAAAATAATTTTCAACTTAGGGTCCTTTAAGTTGTTATTTAGTCCCTTGTTTTCTCATTGAGTTAACTCAGCTTTAAGTTCCCATTTTATCTTAGTCTAATCTTCTCACCTTCTCTTTAGTTCACTTAACCAATAGGTTTTTGGTTGTTTTTTTTTTTAACAAAAGAAAAAAACATTTGCATCACCAATTCGGCAGAATAATGAAAATTACAATACCACAAAATACAGATTTGGAACACAACTTCACAAATCAGCCATGATCTACAACTCAATCTCACAACTAAAACTCTAAATTAGTCCCTTTGTTAAGTCCTTTAAGAGTCCAGATGAGCTTCAGTGCACACTGCAGCAAAATAATAAAGTTTCAGTCCTACCACGATTCAGGTGAACGAATCAGTGTCCCTCGTATAAAAAACCTGGCCTGTTTCACAACAGGGCAATACACATTCACACATTTTAGTCTTTTATATATTCAACAAAAATTACCTGAGGAGGACTAGCACCTAAACACAAGCTAAATGTTAAATTAAATCAGAACCGCACCATAAAATGGTGGCGGCGTTCGTCTCCATTCACCGACAAGGCTCAACTTGACCATGCCTATTGCACGTAACGTTAGCTTTTCAATTTTCTTACACAAATAAACCCACAAAATACACAACATAATTCACACTTTCTTAGTTTAGCTGCTGGCACGTTAGGCAAAACGTTACATTCAGGTAAAAAAAAACAACAACAAGGAAATGCATGCTAATTTACACGTTATAAACAGTAGTTTTCACCCACCAAATCCTTGTTCAAAGCAACAAAAACAGAATCCAGCAATGTGGACCAAAAAGCAACAAAAAATCCTCCAAAATATGGAAAAGAATTTAGGTTTTACAGTCTTTTTTTTTTACTCTTTTATCTCAGTCTCTCCTCACTCGGTTTTCGGACTTCTCTGCTGTTTTACTTCTCACGGTCTACTGCTCTCGCTCTGTTTTTTCTCTCTCTCCAGCAAGCGGCGCTAGAATCACTCTGATTGGCTGTTACCGCTGCACCTATTGAAGGAGTAGAACACAAAATAAACTAACAAAAATGACTTACTTAATGCCTAATGTTATTTATTTGGCTGCATCACATTTATTGTTCGTTTACCCTTTTATTGGTTTTAAGGTAATATTAACCTGGGTTAAATTTTCAATTCAATTCAATTTTATTTGTATAGTGCCAATTCACAACAGAAGTTATCTCAGGACACTTTTCGCATCCGCATCAAAAATGTCCTGTCCCGTCGTGGTCCCATGCATTGCAGCTACATCCAACAGCTGTATCTGTGTTATCTGTGCTTTCATCAACAGCTAATGAAAAAGCTGTGTAGCTGCGTGTCTCCTCGGCCAGCTGTGTTGCAAGGTTTTCTGCTAGTTCCGTAACTCAGTCCGCGATGGTGTTTCTTGATAAACTGACATTTTTAAAAGTCTGTATCTGGTCGGGACACACCTGCTCACAGACCTTCAGCATGCACTGCTTAAAAAACGCTCCCTCTGAAAAAGACTTGGAAGCGTGGGCGATTTCTTCAGCCACAATAAAGCTTTCACTGCCGAATTGTTTTTGGCTGTGGATTTCGTGAACATACTCTGCTGCGACCGCAGTTTGCCTTTTAATTCATGGGCAAGTTGTTGCTTTTCTTGAAGGCTAGCTTTGGCGTACTTAGCTCCATGCTTGGTGTCAAAATGCCAGCGTAGATTGTACTCTTTACAAACAAGTATTCGCCTTCCCATCTTTCTTGAAACAGTCTTCTATCTCCATCAACTTTTCTCTTCCTGGACATTTTGAGGTCATTATTTAACTCTCAATTCCACTTGTTGGCATTGGCGGTGAACCGTCACCTCGTGGGTATCACAGTCGACAGGCATTGTGGGAAATGTAGTTTTTCTGAAGGTCTGAAGGTCTAAAAAAAAGAGGTCAAAAGCGTGCTTTGACCACTTTTTTTTAGACCTCCAGACCTTTTATGCTCTCGCGGGCCACATAAAATGACGTGGCGTGCCACATTTGGCCCGCGGGCCTTGAGTTTGACACATATGGTCTAGGCCTATAGCAGCATAACTAAGGGATGGTTCAGGACTCACCTGATCCAGCCCTAACTATAAGCTTTATCAAAGAGGAATGTCTTAAGCCTACTCTTGAATGTGGTGAGGGTGTCTGCCTCCCGAACCACAACTGGAAGCTGGTTCCACAGGAGAGGAGCTTGGTAACTGAAGGCTCTGGCTCCTGTTCTACTTTTAGAGACTATAGGAACCACAAGTAGCCCAGCATTCAGAGAACGTAGTGTTCTAGTGGGGTAATAGGGTACTATGAACTCTTTAAGATATGAAGGGGCCTGACCATGAAGAGCTTTGTAGGTGAGGAGGAGAATTTTAAATTATATTCTAAATTTTACAGGGAGCCAGTGCAGAGAAGCTAGTACAGGAGAGATGTGATCTCTTTTCCTAGTTCCTGTCAGTACTCGTGCTGCAGCGTTCTGAATTAATTGGAGCATTTTAATGGACTTATTGGGGCAACCTGATAATAAAGAGTTGCAGTAATCCAGCCTTGAAGTAACAAATGCATGGATTAGTTTTTCTGTATCTGTCTGTGATAGGATGTGTCTAATTTTTTGTAATATTACGTAAATGAAAAAAGGCAGTCCTAGAGGTCTGCTTCATGTGGGAATTAAATTAGATTAGAGTTGTGGTTGAGGCATGGCCTTGCTCCTGAACCTTAAGTTAACTAATACATTTAATTTATTCAAACTTCATAGGTAGAACTGGCTGATTTTCACTGGGGACCCCAACACAGTGGCATTTTCAAAAAGCACAAATTAAAACAGAAAAAGAAAACAATTATATTAAGCACCTGTGAGATATGGTAAGTATAGCTCTCCAGTCAGTAGGATTAGTTTAGTCAGGTGCTCATATTAACGTTGAAACAGCTGCTGTAATCCATTTCCTTACCTCTTTCTCTCCTCTCTTCCAGGGCAACTGTTTTCTTTCAGTAACCTGACGTCGTGTCCTGTAGTAGGCTACGCAGCCGCCTGGCACGCCGGTGCGCCACCCAACCAAAGCACACCAGAGGCAGTTTTGCGTCTGGGAGAGGTGGATCCTGACAACTCGCAGTGCAGGCTCTCTGATCCGCTGCATGCTGACGTAAACAGGCGAAATACATCCTAAGGCAATCACACAATAGGAAAAGCCCATACACCCATCACAATGTAAACGTTAAGATTATCCAATGGAGCATCGTCTCCACGGAGTATACAATGCAGACGGTGATACAGCGAGCAGTGGGTGTGTGTCCTGAGGACCGCCGTGGGTGAAGAGAGAAGAGGAGCCGCGTCCAACCAACCTCTCAGCCGCTACAGCAGAAGCACACGCCGCGGATGATGGGTTTTTATTCCCTGACGTCCCCCATCCTCTCGACGGAATCCACCGAGAGCACCCCGAGACATTAAAGACATTTCATTCAGCCAGTACGAGCACCAGGCAGGAGAATCAAGATGAAATTTCCGACCGAGAATCCAAGAAAACCTGGGAACATGAACCCCCCACCAGGTTAGACTATCAGTTAGTCTTGTATATTGTTTTCCAAAAGGCTGCAGTGTGTCTTTTGCCAAAAGGCTGCTGTATAATCTGCCTTTACATTCTATGCGGAATGTGGTGAAAGTTCATCTTAAAATCATTTCATCATGCGTGTTTTGAAAGAAAATGCTGCAGTCTGTTTCTTTAACAGACTGTACCTGATGTGAGGCTGCAAGCACTGTGATTGTTTCAACCAACAGCAGGCTTGCCAATGAAAGAATATTGCTGACCAGAAGTTGACTTTCCAGAGAGATATGCCACAGCAGAGGCTGCTGCTGCTGCATGCTGAAGTTTACAATCTGAGAATGCTGCAGCCGCATCTTCACTGTAGCATCCCCAGTTCTCAAAACAAGAGGTGTTTACTTGAGGAATGATTCAGACGGAGGTAAAGGGAAATTACTACTTACTAAATTACATGAGTCAAATGATGCCCACAAGGAGGCTTTGCAGGGAAATCTAAACAGCTGTTGTCGGTGAACATGTGATGCATTGGAGAGATGTGCTTGTTGAAACATTACCTCATCCACTGCCGGGTAGATCCCCCAAAATCCTGCATTTGTGTCACGTTCTCCCACAGCGTCAGCATCAGCAGCACGTTTGTATCGCCGTTACAGCCCGTACATGTTTATATATTCAGCGCATGGGCTTCCAGAGAGATATGACAGCCCTCTGTCGCACCATTAGTTCTGGTTTCTGAAGGCTGACGTTCATCATTGCACATGAATGCGAGCAACGGCACATTGCGGCTGATTGGTTATATAAATCAAAGCAGTGGATTCTGTGAAGTGTGCTCAGTGTCAGGGAGATGTGGCACAGCGGTCACGATTCCCAACCCATACGTTACATAACATTATTTAGTGAATAGATGATGATGGAAAAAACACCACCTGTCGTTTTGTTGTTTCTCAGACACTTTGGTAGCTAATCAACAGCCCGTGTTAGAGAGATAAGTGGCATGTTTCCTTTTCTGTATCACTGAACACTTTTAGACTTATGGGTAAAGCCATTACTATTATTTGTCATATATATATATATATATATATATAAATAAATACAAAATACCTCAGGTGCCATCTTCAAAAAAGATATTCAGTTGGTTATATTGTAATCATTCAGTGGATTACTCAGTTTGTAAGGGTTGATTTACACAACAAAGCTCCTCCAGTGGCATTGAAAGCATTATAGAACTGTTTACACAGGGTAACAATGTCTACTATAGCCTACTACCTTTCTAATGTAAAATATTCCCTGGTAATAGAATAATATTAATCACTACCACATACATGAGTCATACATAAAGAGGATATATGGTTTTAGACAGTTCATCAGGAAGAGGCAGTCACTATTTGGAATAGGGTGCTATGAGCTCTTTAAGATATGAAGGGGCCTGACCATGAAGAGCTTTGTAGGTGAGGAGCAGGATTTTAAATTATATTCTAAATTTTAGTGCAGAGAAGCTAGTACAGGAGAGATGTGATCTCTTTTTCTAGTTCCTGTCAGTACTCGTGCTGCAGCGTTCTGAATAAATTGGACTTATTGGGGCAGCCTGACAATAAGGAGTTGCAGTAATCCAGCCTAGACGTAACAAATGCCTGGATTACTTTTTCTACATCCGTCTGTGACAGGATGTGTCTAATTTTTGTAATATTATGTAAATGAAAGAAGGCAGTACTAGAGGTTTGCTTTATGTGGGAATTAAATGACATGTCGTGATCAAAGATAACTCCAAGATTCCTGACAGTGGTGCTAGAGGCCAAGGTAATGCCATCTAGAGTAACTATATCTTTAGACAGTGAGTCTATATAGATATAGTTTTTGGGGCTAACTACAAGAATTTCATTTTTTTTCTGAGTTTAACATCAGAAAATTGCAGCTCATCAGTTCTTTTCCCCAACGCACACAGACATCTCTTTCTATCTAACAGGCTTCTGGATAAAATGGAATGGCTGTAACAGTCATTTTTCCTTCATTTATTGTCTAACAGTGTTTACCATTGAAATCTGGTTTCAAAAAGAAGTTAGCCTGTCTCTGATCACTTTATAGTCCCCATATGGACTATTGTCTAACACTGATTTGCCCTGTGGACATTCTTCATTTTTGTCTTTCCTTCTCTTTGAAATTAAACAAATTGTCCTTGCCAGTGCTCCTATGAAAGCTCATTCATGTGGTTCATCTGTTGCATATCAGAACATTCATTAGCTGAAAACATCACTGTATTATGCAGATATTGCAGCAAACGCTTGTTCATTTGTTCTGTTTTTTAGTGGCAGTCCAGACCAACCTGGTCCCACCCAAGAAGGTGCAGCCAGGCATGCTTCAGTCCAGCCTGGTGCATGCTAGTGTGGCCACCATGCAGAACCCGATGGGCTGCACTGTGCCGCGCCTCTCCGTCTCAACCCGGCCACCAAGCGTGGTGGCCAGCATGGAGGCAGTGGCCGATGGCTCAGCCCCCTTCACCATGATGAAGCTGAAGACGGTGCTGGCAGTGTTTGTGGTAGTGGTGGCCTACCTGGTGGCAGGGGGCTTGGTGTTCCGGGCACTGGAGCAGCCCTTTGAAAACAACCAGAAGATCACCATAACAGCAGAGAAGGCAGCCTTCCTGCAAAAACACCCATGTGTGTCTCCGGATGAGCTGGAAGCTGTCATCAAGGTAAGAGCAGCCGCTGGTCGATACTCCAGCCTTTAATCGGCCCTGGATGTGGTCCCTAGTGAGGACTCAGGTCTACGGAAACCTGAGCTTCATATCGATCTGATGCCATTCAAGCTCCACACATACTCCACACTCTGCCAGCCACCCTGGAATTGGATACAAACCACACTCAACTCTCTATTACATACAAAAGTGTTGGCGTCTTCTTATGGAAAATCGGCAAAACAATATCAGCCTACATGTGCCACGTTTCTTCATCATCTGTGGTGTGAAAACATCAGATTTCCACACAGAGAAAGGTAAAAGTGTGCATTCCACTCCAGTTCAGTTATAAAATCCAAGCGCACCAAAGAGCATCTCTTCTGCAGGGCAGGCAGTGTGGAGTCAAGACGAGACAACAAGAGCTTGGCGCAGGAATTTTGCTTTCCTTAAGTTTCCCTAAGAAATAAAGCTGTAGAACAACTAGCCACAACTGCAGTATCTCATGGTCATGGAAAGGTAGACGATGAAAGTGTAGGCACTTGTACCTTCTCATTCTGTTGCCACCATTTGGAAAGTCACAAACGCGAATCATTTCTTCTACACAGTAGATCAACACACGTTATTCTTACTCCAAGCTTCTTCCCTTGTGAACACCTCCGATCTCCACTCATTTCTTCTTCTGCGTTTACCTGCAACAAGAAATCCCACGGGACTTCAGCGCGAGAGCAGTCCCACGCTGAAGTCTCGCGCTGAAGTCTCGCGCTGAAGTCCCGTGGGATTTCACTTGTTGCAGGTAAACGCAGAAGAAGAAATTGTTGCAGGAAGTGTGCAAATCGGAGAGTAGTGTGTGAAGACATGGAAATTTTTGAAGGGGAAATAAACTTTTTTTCGTCGCAAAGGCATTATCTCCGTGATCGATTATTCTGGGCTTTCGGTGAAGCGAGCGGTGGAAAAACAGGTAGGCGACAGTACTGTTTTGTACGGTTTCTGCACAACGTATGAGTTGAAAAGGCATGTTGTTGTCACGTAAGGGCCCTGATCATGTTGCACAGACATTTTAATTGCATTTTGTGTCTGTTAAGAGGAGCAAAAGGCACTCTTTAGGATATGCCCCCAAGAAGTGTATTATAACTAACTGGGAGCTCTGGCCATTAGCTGCAGGATCTCCGGTTTGCTAGAACCAATTCTGGTCGTTCTTTTTCCTATCGACAGTACTCGGTGACCTCTAGTGATCAAGACTAGGGTAAAAATCTGCCGAAGTTCCCCTTTAAAGCAGGTGTGACCTGTGAGCAGATAAAGGTGAGCATAAAATGTAAGGCTGGAACGATATGCTTGTTTCCTGATTCGACACGATTGTGATGCTGAATTGATATCTACTGTATTGTGATTCTTATTTTACAAGTAAGGGTAAGGGGGTTGCAATCAGGAAATACTGCTGGAAGCCACTAAATCTCTCACGCAGTATCAAGAACTTTAGTGGACACCAAATACAATATATTGGACATATGTTTCACTCATATAGACATCTGATCAATCATGGGTTGCATTTGTATTTACACCTGATATTAATACGCTTTCTTATAATCTTGGTTGAAAAAAGCCACACTGTTGTTTTATCATCCACTTATAGAAGATTATGCTAGTTAGTTTATTTGTCAAACAGCTTGAACTAGCTGGTAGAGGCAGCCTTAACCTTTTTCAACTTGTTGGGCACACAGTGGCCAAGCTGTTTACACTTTATTTACATCTAGCATTAGCCTTATCTACACTGTGTTCCAAATTATTATGCATATACTGTTTTTGTTCTTTTATTTATTTTTGTTTTCTTAATAAATAGTCGATAGAGTTGGCACTCAATCTCTCAACAATTATATTGTTATCTGGATTTTATTAAACACAATTACCAATGATGACAATGGCATTTTTTGCAAAATAACTCAAAATGCAGTGTTCCAAATTATTATGTGAAACACAGTTTCAAAACACTTCAAAAAATCAAAGCTATTTAAATCAAAAACATCTTTAAAAATCGAGTTACATCTTAACATAGGAGCCCTTCTTTGATACCACATTAACACTCTCTCATCCATGGAACTTGTAAGTCCATGTACAGTACACTGTCTGTATTTCCTTTGAGCATGCCAGAATTGCCTCCCAGAGCTGCTGTTTTGAGGTAAACTGCCACCCACCCTCATAGAGCTTCCTTTTAAGAATGCTCCACAGGTTCTCAATAGAGTTGAGGTCAGGAGATGATGGTGGCCACACCGTGATTCTTTCTCCCTTAATGCCCATAGCAGCCTAGGCCTCAATGGTATTTGTTGCAGCATGGATGGTGCGTTGTCTTACATGACAATGATTTTACTCTGGAAGGCATGGTTCTTCTTTTTATACCATGGCAGGAAATGGGCAGTTAGGAACTCCACATATTTTGCAGAGGTCATTTTGACACCTTCAGGCACCTTAAAAGGGCCTACTAACTCACTTCCTATGATTCCAGCCCAAAACATCACTCCACCACCTCCTTGCTGACGTCACAGCATTGTTGGCCATCCAGAACTCCTTCCATCTGGACCATCCAGTGTAGCACGGCATACATCAGTGAATAAAACTGTTAGACAATTAGTCTTCATGTATTTCTGAGCCCACTGCAATCATGTCTCCTTGTGGGCATTGTTTAAGGGTGGCCGAAATACAGCTTTATGCACATCAGCAAGCCTCTGGAGGATCCTGCGTCAAGAGGATCTTGGGACTCCAGAGGCACCAGCAACTTCAAATACCTTTTTTACTACTCATCAGTGGCTTTTTCACAGCTGCTCTCTTAATACGATGAATTAGCCTTACAGAAACTTTCCTTAACACACCTTTATCTGAACGAACCCGCCTGCGCTCTGAATCAGACACAAATCTTTTCATAGGACAATGATCTCTCTTAATATTTTGTAAAATATCCAGTGGTTTCATACCTATTGAAAGATAGTTTGAAAAAATATATTTTTTCCCCCTATATTGCATGAAACATGTGACTTGCTTAATAATGTGGAACAACATCCTTAAGTAGTTTCGCATTAATTAGGCTCACCTGGCAAACTAATAAAGACAAACCTGTCTGAGATTGATGTCAGTGATCTAAACAGACATGGGAAGCAGCACAATTGAAAACTTTAATTGAAAAACAAAAAATCTAATGTTTTTTTAATTTAAATCATATTTGCATAATAACTTGGAACACAGTGTAGAGCCAGTGTTTGGTTGTCCATTCTAGGCTTGCTGTCGAAACATGGAGATGTACAGTAGATATAAAAGGCTCTTTCTAAGGTAACACAAATACAACAATTATTATTTTCAGGTGATTATTCCTTAGCATTTTATATTATATTTCTGCCATATTCTGTAAATACACAGTGGACCTTTAATGCCTAAATATAAATGTCAGAGGAAAATCGAAGTGTTCAAGTGGTTTAAGAAAATAACATGGCTTAATTCAATTCAATTCAATTTTATTTGTATAGCGCCAAATCATAACAGAAGTTATCTCAGGACACTTTTAAAAATAGAGCAGGTTTAGACCGAACTCCTTATAAAATTATTTACAGAGAACCAACTGTTCCCACCATGAGCAAGCACTTGGCGACGGCGGCAAGGAAAAACTTCCTTTTAAGAGGAAGAAACCTCGGACAGACCCCGGCTCTAGGTGGGTGGCCTCGACCAGTTGGAGTGAGTGAGAGAGAGAGAGAGAGAGAGAGAGAGAGAGAGAAAGGTGTAGCAAGCAACAGTAGCAACAACTACACTAACTCTTTTGAAAGTCCCTTTTCAGACCTGAAACAGTTAACACTGCTGGCTTTTTCTATCTGTTACAGTAATGGCTTTTTGTTTTTGACCTTGTCTAGAGAAGAAGTGCGGTCACTGCTGGAGAAGAAAAATAATGATACTTCTTATGATACAGAGACTGTCTGCACTGGATTTTAAAAACAGATTTTATAGTTTGCAGAGGTCGCAATAATAGTATGCACATTCTTTACTCAAGTAGAAAACTAGTAATTGAAATTTTAAATGATCATTTCATTAGGAGTCTAGACTTGCTCTATTCGAAAAGTGTCCTGAGACCTGAGAACCTATTATTGATTTTGCACTATACAAATACATTTGAATTGAATCAAATTAAAGGTGAAAAAATACAGGCTAAGGAATGTACTTTATTGGTTTCTCTGTAGAACCTTTCTACAGGCTGTTTATGCGCAAAGCTAGCTGAAAATTCAAATAGGTTCCAGTCTCCCTCTGTCTTTTTCATCTTGTTACGTCTGTCATGTGTGATATGCACCAGTTTTGATGTTGGTGTAACAGGTTCATGTGTGTCTTGTTGTAATTACACAAAATGTATTTGGTTATAGTTTATTTTTGACTGGATGGACCTCCAACCTCCAAACTGTATATGTGTTGACGTTCAGAGCCCCTCCTAGTTCATCTCTTCTTCCGTGGTCCCCACTATAAATTCCTTTTGCCCCCACCCCTCTCCCCTTTTTGTACAATTCAACTGTGGGTGGGTCTCATTTCTTTCTCTGCCCTAATCCATCATAGTTGCTTGTTGATATTCTTGTTTCCTGCATTGTTATAATGTGTCTTCACATGTCAATTCATTGATTTCAACAAACTGACTTATAACTGTGTGAATAGTTGTTGTTAGAGTAAGTGCTGCTCGCCTTACGTTGTGGCTAACTAAGCTAACGTCTGATATAAGAATATAGAATCATGCTGCCTTTTTTATACAGTCCGCCCTAAGACAGGTTTTTACATGTAAGGTTGAGATAGCGTTTTGTTAAGCTCCTGAAGCAGAAAAAGGCTGCAACATGAATAATTGTCAAAACATTAATGTGACAAGGTGCATGTGTGAAAGGGGATATTGGTTGAGTGTAGTTTTTTATATGTAGCCTTCCTCTCCTGTAAAATCTGTCCGTCCATTATTTTGGTGTTAGGTGCCAAGTCTGTCACACTCAATTTCAGAACATGGTTTGGAAACAAGA